GAAAACAAAACATTCTGGCTGCTAGTCTTCTCTTTCTTTGATATGTGGCTGTGGCTGACCACTCGTCATTTTAAGTTGCTTCTTATTCTTATTTGGTACTAAGCTATAATTTTTTAGAGTCCCCTTGCAAATCAGTTGATACGTGCGGCGATGTGTGATTACACGTTGCATTTCATGAGAATACGCTCGAAGCATAACTAACAACAGGCCAGCCAACAAACTCCAGGTTGCATAAGTATGCGTGTATGGGGTTGCGGGAATATTTACGAGCCAACTTGCCACAACGCCACATACCGCGCGGGGTCCAACTACAAAATAGTAGTATGCACCTCAATTACAAACACAACAGCACACAAATGGAGAGAGCCAAACCATAGCGGCAGCAATAACAACAATCAATTGGCCCAGCTCGCTGTACAACTCGTGTGGAACTTTTTGGATGGCAGAGTTTGTGTATTCACTTCTCAACATTGTACACTGTGTTGCGCAAGAAATTACCCCCCGCGACCAGCAAAAAAGGACCTGTGAATTATATGTCCGCCAGCGTACGAACCTCGCACATTTCGCACCTCGCAATATAACTAAAATCGTCTTACAAGGCAATTCTGGCTAAGATAGTAAGTAAAAAGTCTTTCGGAAGGCAAATGAAAGATAATCAGAAAGACTAAATTAATTCTTGTACGAAAATGTAAGACAAATCGCTCTCATTTACCACTTTTAAGAGAAAGCAATTGTATATAATTAAGCTCGGGTCGCTCCAACAGTCGCAATGGCCGAGAGAGCAAAGCTCTGGACTGAAATCGAAACCTCGGGCAGGCAATTTCTTTTTACTGTAATTTTTTATGTTTTTTTTATTCAATTTTCTTTAAATTAATAGATTTCATTCTCTTAAAAAGAAAAATGTATATTTTTTTAATTTTTAGGAACTTATCTTATTTATTTCTTATTTTTTAAGATTTTATTGCTGCAAACAGAAAAATATATTTTTTTTTAATTTCATAAAATTTTTAGAAACGTTTTTATTTTTTTGATTATGTTATTATTTTTGGTTTTCATTTTATTTATTTCAAGTAAAAACTAGTCAACAAAAACAAATTTAGTAATTTTCTTTTTGGTTTTATATTTTCCTGTGTTAGAAATAAATATATATATGTATATATTTTTTAATTTTATTTAGTTTATAGATTTTTATTTCATTTTTTAAGATTTTATTATTTTGAAAATATATACATATTTTTTTAATTGCATTAAATTTGTAGAATTTTGTATTTCTATAATTTTATTTTATTTTTGGCTTTAGATTTTATCGTTTTAAAAAGAAAAATACGTTTTTTTATATCATCCAGTTTTTGGGATTTTATTAAAGTTTTTTAATTTAATTTTTTTGTGTGTTTTGAAATTAAATTTTCTTTTAATCGTAAGATTTTGTTTTAAAAATAGAAATATTTTTTCAGCTTCATTTAATTTTTAAGTACCATTTCCTTCTTTTCTGATAAATTTTTTTCTAGTTTGATTTTCTTTTAATTTTTAATTTTTGATATTATTGTTTTAAAAAGAAAAAATATAGTTACTTCTTTATTTTTGCTTTATTTCCATTTTATTATTTTCATTTTTTATTCAATTTTCTTTAATTTATTAGTTTTTATTGTTTTAAAAGGAAAAATATATACAATATGGTTTAACTTAATTTAATTTTTAAACAGCTTTTTGCTAAGAAGCGAACAGCATAACGCTAAGACCTCGTTAGCAGAGCTAGTTTTCTCAAAAGACAGTGAAGAGCTTTCAAGATATTAAGTTGCCTGAATTGACAATTGTCCTACGACAGACGTTTGTCTTTCGAAAAACTTTGGTGAGTAAAAAAAGGAGAGTTGCCAGAATTGTTCTGTTAATTAAACGCTTCTTCAGTAAAATGAAGCCTTTTAGATTTTCACTGAAGAGGTAAAGATTGCCTTGGCATAAAAACTTTGTTGCACAGTGTTGCATTTAA